GGAATAGCCATACTAAGAGGACTAAATAAGAAACTCTAAATAGATGCATGGCAGTTTAGGTCAGGTTTTGCTGCCAGACGCATTTTTTTTAAAGTATCATTCAGACCTTTTTCAATTCCAGAATTGTAAATAATGGATCATGAACCTGTACTTTGTAAAGTTGTTGTAAGGAGCAAATGAGTTGATACATGATACACTTAAGAAATACTAAGTGCTAAATAAATTGTAGCTATTATTTTTTTTTTTAATCACCAGAAAGGTGGCTTCAAAAATCAATGGCAGGACTTCCCTGGTGGTGCAGTGGTTAAGAATCCGCCTGCCAATGCAGGAGACACGGGTTCGAGCCCTGGTCCGGGAAGATCCCACATGCCGTGGAGCAACTAAGCCCGTGCGCCACAACTACTGAACCTGCGCTGTAGAGCCCATGAGCCACAACTACTGAGCCTGCGCTCTAGAGCCCGCGAACCACAACCACTGAGCCTGTGTGCCACAGCTACTGAAGCCTGTGCGCCTACAGCCTGTGCTCCACAACAAGAGAAGCCACCACAATGAGAAGTCCGTGCACTGCAACGAAGAGTAGCCCCTGTTCTCTGCAACTAGAGAAAGCCCGCACACAGCAACAAAGACCCAACACAGACAAAGAAAAAAAAAAAACTATACCCAGTAGGGTGGCTATTTTAAAGCGCACGCGCGCGCGCGCAAGAGAGCAAACAAAAAAAGTAAATAACGGGCTTCTCTGGTGGCACAGTGGTTAAGAATCCACCTGCCAATGCAGGGGACATGGGTTTGAGCCCTGGTCCGGGAAGATCCCACATGCCGTTGAGCAACTAAGCCCATGCGCCACAACTACTAAGCCTGTGCCCTAGAGCCCACGAGCCACAACTACTGATCCCGCGTGCCACAACTACTGAAGCCTATGCACCTAGAGCTCATGCTCCGCAAGGAGAGAAGCCACCTCAATGAGAAGCCTATACAACACAACGATGAGTAGCCCCCACTCGCCACAACTAGAGAAAGCCCATACGCAGCAACGAAGACCCAACGCAGCCAAAAATAAATAAATTATATTTTTAAAAAAGTAAATAACAAGTATTGGCAAGGATCTGGAGAAATTGGGACCCTTGTGCACTGTTGGTTGGAATGTAAAATGGTGCAGCCACTATGGGAAACAGTATGGAGTTTCCTCAAAAAGTTAAAAATAAAATTAGCATATGATCCAGCAATTCCACTTTTGGGTATGTGCCCAAAAGAACTGAAAGCAGTCGCGGAGCAACTAAACCTGTGCGCCACAACTACTGAGCCTGCACTCTAGAGCCCACGAGCCACAACTACTGAGCCCATGTGCCACAACTACTGAAGCCCATGTGCCTAGAGCCCATGCTCCACAACAAGAGAAGCCACCGCAATGAGAAGCCTGCGCACTGCAACAAAGAGTAGCCCCCGCTTCCTGCAACTAGAGAAAGCCTGTGCACAGCAACAAAGACTCAATGCAGCCAAAAATAAAACAATAAATAATAAAAATAAATTAATTATTTAAAAAAACTGAAAGCAGAAACTCAAATATTTATACACACATATTCATAGCAGCATTATTCAAAATAGCCAAAAGGTAGAAGCAACCCAAGTGTTCATCAACCGATGGATGCATAAACAAACTGCACTATACATACAATGGATTATTATTCAGCCTTAAAAAGGAAGGAAAATTTGACACATGCTACAACATAGATGAGACGTGAAGAAGTTATACTAAGTGAAATAAGCTAGTCACAAAAGGACAAATACTGTATGATTCCACTTATATGAGGTAACCAGAGTAGTCCATTCATGGAGACAAAAAGTAGAATGGTGGTTGCCAGGGGGGGAGGAAGGTAGGAATGAGGAATTATTGTTTAATGGGTACAGAGTTTCAGTTTTGGAAGAAGAAAAAAGTTCTGGAGCTGGATGGTGGTGATGGTTGCACAACCATGTGTGAATGTACTTAATGTCACTGAATTGTACACCTAAAATGGTTAAAATGGTAAATTTGGGGGTGGGATGAATTGGGAGATTGGGATTGAAATCTATACACTACTGATACTATGTATAAAATAGATAACTAATGAGAACTTACTGTATAGCCCAGGGAACTCTACTCAGTGCTCTGTGGTGACCTAAATGGGAAGGAAATCCAAAAAAGAGGGGATATGTGTATATGTATAGCTGATTCACTTTGCTGTACAGCAGAAACTAACACAACATTGTAAATCAACTATACTCCAATAAAAGTTAATTTTAAAAACAAAATACAAAAAAGAAAAAAATGGTACAATTTATTTTATGTGTATTTAACCACAACTTATAAAAAGTAACTTCTAGTAAGACGTTACCCCTTTCTGACATGGCATAGCACATCTGTGTGCCCTTATGTTTGTTTTGGGGGCAATGTTTCTGACAGAAAGCATGGTCTCGAATGTCTCCTTTAGTAATTATGACTTTCCAGTAGCAAACTTTTTCACTGTAATTAGTGAAAAATGTCACTAGATGTCACTCTTTAGCTGAAAAACTATTCCAATTTGGTTCAGTAGCCGATAGCTATAAGTAATTCCAGAGCATCAGATAAAAGCCTGTATATAGTGCTTTGCTCATACAAATACGGTTTTCTGGGAAAGAGAATGTTAATGTTTATTAACTTCGTTGGTACTAATTGTTTTTCACTATAAATTGAGTTTGTGTAATTAAGACATAACTAACTTTGTAAGTGATAGTGAAACACAAAGCTGAAATGTAAAGATCATTTATCATTGAAAGTCAGGTGGCTTTACCACTAAATGATGTGTGACATTGGGTAAGTCCTTTAATCTCTCTGATTTCACCAGAGTAGTAGAAACATCCTTTCTTAGGTCAATATACACTACCGTATATTTGCTCTGTGCTAAAACATATTTAAGTACACTCTAATTCTAAAATATTTTGGTTTTTATAGTAGTAATCAAATTGTAACTGTTGAAATACAATACCAATGGGAGTTCAGTAACAGAAAATACTGCCCACAAGAAGACATTAGGAAATATAATGAGACTTCTTGATGTCCTGAGGGAGTATTTTAGGAAAATACTTGTATTAAACAATTATAGTCAGAGGTATAAACTCTTGAAATAAAAAAGATCACATTTACTACTGAGAACAGTTTTTAAAAGATAATGGAATATCCTAAAGTGTAAAAGAAAAATTGCTTTGTTTACCTGTAAAATTCTTAAGATTCAAGAACACATTGATTCTTAAAGATTAACCATTTGAATTGGTAATATTACACTATAATCAAAATAATTTTTTAAACTTCTAATTTTTGTAAGAAGTTTGTAATTGAGTTATAATACCTAAAAACAATCAAAAGACCAAATGCTCACCGCTGGATGAAATGCTGGACATTATAATGCATCAGTAAATGAGGATATTACATTTTTATTAGTAGTAACAGTTATTAGGATTAAGAGTATTAGGATGAGAAAAACTATCAGAAATGGTAGGTAAAAATATAGAACTCAGAATGATATAAAAAATAGAGTGTAAATCGTGCCCAGTTAAGGATATTGACAGTTGTTTTGTTTAATTTCATTATATTTAACTCTTAAAACTTAGATCTTTCTGTTTAACTTTTATATTCACATGATTAAATATGTAAAAGGAGAGGGGGTGTAGTAGCTAAAGGGTACAGATTTGCTTTTTGTGGTGATGAAAGTGTTCTAAGATTAACTGTGGTGATAGTTGCGCGTATGTGTGAATATATAAAAAACCTTTGAATTTTACATTTTAAATGGGTGAATTGTATGGTATATGAACTATATCTCAATAAAAAGTAGGTGAAGGAAGCACTATTCAAGCTTTTTTTCTAATACTGCAAATATAGTTATGAATGCCTATTTTTAAAAGAGCATTGAAAACAAGTGGTTTGGGGGGGAGGGATAAATTAGGAGTATGGGATTAACAGATGCACACTACCATACATAAAATAGATACACAAAGATTTACTGTGGAGCACAGGGAACTATATTTAGTATCTTGTAATAAACCATAATGGAAAAGAATTTTTTAAAAAGGAATATAGATATATCATATATATGTATAACTGAGTTACTTTGGTGTATATCTGAAACTAACACAATACTGTAAATCAACTATAATTCAATTAAAATAAATAAATAAAATTCAAGTAAAATATGTAAAAGGAAAGAAAAGAATGATTTGTTAAAATTCGCGTGATTATTTTAAACACTGGAAGCAAAAAAGATTTATATTTCATGTTACATTGCCACTTCTATCATACATCTGTGTGTCTGTGTGTCCGTGTGTGTGTCCGTGTGTGTGTGTGTGTGTGTGTGGCACGGTGGTGGGAAGTCTCCCAGGGAAAGAGAGAGAGAAGTCTGGGAGGGGCATAGTCGGGGAGGCATGTTCCGTTCCATCGATAACACGTTCATTCACTGGAAGCCGGCTAAAACAGACTAATCCTTCTTGCAGTCATTCCCTCTATCTTAACAAGGCTCCGCCACCTCGCCCAGAACTCGGTAAGTTCAAAGTGCAGTAAAAGTGCGTTTTTCCAAAGAATAATCTGAAATGACATTGTAGATAATTTACTGGAGGGTGGAGAAGGGAGGGGGTGGAGGAAGGGGTGGAGGTGGTAATTATCAGGCATCGCTTTGCTATCATATTTGCAATGGGGAGAAAAACCTCAATGCGCAAATAGTTTCAAAAAGATTAGACAGTAATTGGCTTTTTCCCAGGAAACCTCTTCAGAGGGGCCACTCGCAAACTGCTGCTGCCAACTGAAAACCGAGGCCCAGAAAGTCTGGGGTGGAAGATTGGCAGGTGCCTGTGCTTGGGCCAAGGGCTGCGCCCGACTCAGTCAGTAGCCGTCTCTGCCTCTGTCCCCAGGTCTAAGGGATGCTGCTATCCTGGCCCTGCTACCACTGAAGCGCTCAGGGGTACCTGGAAAGCCGACCTGAGTGCAGACACCACGAGCCATGAGTCCTCTGAGGCTGCGAGCGTCTCTCTCGTTGCTGCTGCTGCTGGGTGGCTACCTCCTCGAGGGCGCCGGGAGAAACCAGGGGGCGGTCGGCAGCGCGGTCGAGTCAGCCCCGGGCCCCGCGGGCGGCTCCTCCGGTCGCTTCGTCAGCCCCGAGCGGCATGCTTGCAGCTGGCATCTCCTGCCGCCCGCCCCAGGGCCCGCGGCGGGCAGCGAGCTGGCGCTGCGCTGCCAGGGCCCGGACGGGGCGCGCCACCGGTGTGCCTACCGCGGGGAGCCGGGGCGCTGCCCGATCTATGCCGCCAGCCGCTCGCACTACTGGAAGCAGGTGCTGGGTGGGCTGCGCAGGAAGCGGCGGCCCTGCCACGACCCCGCGCCGCTCAAGGCCCGCCTGTGCGCGGGCAAGAAGGGCCAGGGCGCGGAGCTGCGCCTGGTGCCCCATGCATCCCCATTCGTCAGCCCTACTGGGGCGGGCTTTCCCCGGGATCCCAAGCTCCGGGCCAGGAGCCGGGGGCAGCCCCGAGAGACCGCGCGCAACCCCACCGTAGGGGCCCCGCCTCCCTCGAACGCGCCGCCCAAAGGGAAGCCCTCTGAGAAGAAGACCAAAGGAGGCAAGAGAAAGGCTGCATGGAACCCAGACGAGGAGCGATCTCTGGGGACCCGGCCCGATCCCGACGAGCTGGACGAGAACACGAAGCTCACGGAGACCTACTGTGCTGAGAAGTGGCATTCCCTCTGCAACTTCTTTGTCAATTTCTGGAATGGCTGAGGGTGCGGGCCTGGGGAGGGAAGGGGAGAGGGAGGGAGGGGATCTGTGCGCAGCCCGGGAGGGGAAGCTAAGGGTATCCTAGGCCACAAGATACTGGATAGAGAGTGGGGAAGAGTCCAGGTTCTAGAATGGGTCTGGGGGGTGGAGGTGGGGCTTGGGATGGGAGTATAAAGGCTATGGAGAGTCTGAGACAGCAGGGAAGTTAAAATTTATGAAGAGTCGACCCTGTTTAAGAGCAGAAGAACTAGTAGAAACAGAAGTAGGCATACCCTAAATGTGTAAAAACTGTAGACTGGGGAGAGAGACGGGTACAGAGAGAGGCTGAAAAAATGAGTGGGAAAAATTGACTAAAATGATGTGACTCTCGTGTGGGAAGCAGGATACAATGTACACTGTTTAACGCATTTCTATTAAAATATACTCATGAGCAGCTGATAACCTGAGCCAGGTTGAATTTTCAGTGCCATCTCACCTACTCAGCTGACAAGATTACCAACTTTTTTTCTCTTTAGGAATTAGTATGAACTTGGGTGCTCTCTCCTGTCATAGATGATCCCTATAGGGGATCAATGGATCTGAAGCCATTCAGAGCTCAAAACTGACTCCAGTGAAAAGGTTTTCAGCATGATTGCCTTTGAATTCTTTTAGAAGTGCTGCTTTTAAACAGAGTGATGCCTAGTGTTCTGAAACTGTCCTATTAACCTTCCAAATTCAGAAGTGAATTATGAGTTGAGTGCTCCAGTAGGTTTTAAAAAACAATTCTCTTTGTATTTGATCGTATTTTTTAAAAAAGCTAAAATGTAAGTACATATCTCAGAGTCATTTGGACCATTATGGAAGTCATCTCTCTGTCTCATGTAATTAATTGTTAACATATTTCATTTTAAATAAGATGAAATGATAGACTTTGCATGTGTTAGGTGCTCAATAAAAACTGTACGGCTAGATTTAAAGAACTGGCAGGACAATGGAAATTTTGACTGCATTTGATCTAGTTCTGAGTATACCTTGAAGTTAGTTCCTAAAAACATCTTGAATTGTTGGGGAAAGACAAGAACAAGTCTGCATAAGGGAAAAATCACAAACTGACAAACCCTGGGTCCTATCATTGCTCTGTTTGGCCTGCATGCAGTTCTCTCATTTTTCCACTCTTCCTCCCTCCCTCCCAATTGGGATTTGTTGCTAGCATTTAAAAATTAGATAATTTCATATAAAAAGCCAGATTTCTGAATTCTCTTGTAAAATTAGATCTAATGACATTGGACACATCTTTCCACATTGCAACAACTGGCTGATGCTGAATATTGGCTGACCTCTTTAGAGTAGATATATTTTCTTGGGTTTTCCCACTGCTGCTGCACATCTTATAAATTGACTTTATTCATTTATATTACAGGGCTGAACCCATGAGACATTTAAGCCACCACCAGATATAAGTGTTTTTGGCTGACCTTCTGTTTTTCTCACCTCCTCTCCTTTAAAATAATGGTAAATGCAACAATCTTACAGATACTGAAGATCTCCTGAACTTTTTCCTCCTTGACCAGCCCCTAGAAAATGTAAACTATCTGTTACCTATTCTGTACATTCTTCACACAATTGGCAAAACATTCAGATTGACCATAGTTTCATGCCACGTTTATGAATCACATTCTGAGTAACATTGACCATTAGATAAAATTCATCTTGGCCAAGGAAAGGAAGCTCAGAGTAGCTTGAGACCACCCCCTAAAGATAGGATTGCAAGGTTTGAGGGATCTTAATTCCCCGACCAGGGAACGAACTTGGCCCCCCTGCAGTAGACTGCCAGGGAATTATCCAAAGGGATTCAGTCTTACAGGGCACTTACACAAAATGGTGATCAGAAACTCTCCATCTCAGCTGGGAGCCACATAAAAAGAAATAAGCAAGAAATGTGTAGTTGTAGAAGGGAGAATTATCTGATGAGGAGAACAAAATACAGTGCTCGTATCCCTGACGCGTAAGCAAGAGGGTATGTGTGATGTCCTTCGATGACAGCGACTTGAAAGGAGATGAGAATGTTTCTGGTCTTGGAGGCTTGGGGACCACAGCTGCCCTCCCAGCTCCATGGTTTTCTTACAACTTCAAAGAGCATCTCTCCTTACTTCCTGCCCGAGGCTTACAGCTGCAGAGCTTTGATGAACTTACCCCAAGTTTGTCCCTCCTGTGACCTCTGGCTCACCACATTCAAACTCTTCCCCATTTCAATTTTTAAAAGCAGGCATAAAAGCAGACCAAAGCCTTCCTTTCCCTTTTGTAAAGCAAGACAGCTGCTTCAGCCATATTAAAATTATTAGGTGGTCATTATATACAGACAACAGCAGTTAGAAAAAGATAATGTAAGGTGCCATTAATAATAGCAATCCAATTCAATAAACTCAATAAAAATATACAAGAGCTATGTGAAGAACACAGAAATACTTCTGAGGGCAGAACAGAAAGACTTGAGTAAATGAAAACGTGTGGATTATGATTATGATTATGATTAAAGAAGCCTTAACATTTAAAAATGTCAATCTGTAAATAATCTATACATTTAAACATGATAACAACAGACTACCAAAAGGATTTTTTGGTGCGAGAATTGGGCAAACTGATTCTAAAATTCCAAAGGAAAACCAAAACGAATTTGGGGACTGGAGGGGTGCAGGGTTGTATGTTTCAGAGAGAGAGAAAAAAAGGATGCTTTCATTGAGGTTAAGGGTACAATTTGAAATGGTTAAATACAGAATCTCCCCAAGGACTGCTGGCAGCACAGTGCAAAACAATGTAAATGATGTGAGTGGACTGTTTCTAGGTAACCACAGGGACTCTCCATAGAAGGCCAGAAGCTTCCAACCAGCGCTTCGGTTGACTGTTGCCGCCTCTGAGCTGGGTGGTCATGTGATCGTGGCGGGGCTGAGGACCCTAAACCTTTGATCCATATGTTCTTTTGTTCCCAGGCATAACGATCACAATGAGAACGATTCTTCTCCAAATCGAGACAGGGAGAGGGCCCTTATGCATTGATTTTAAGATGTGGGGAGAGAGGTGAAGGGAAGATGGCCAGTGTGGGATCCCCAGGAGGGTGAGATGTCACAGTTTATGTTTAATCATGTGTTAGTATTCCTTGGGAGTGCCACAGGATGAAATGTTTGCCAGCATTTAGAGGTAGCTCTTTACCTTCTCTCTTTTCTCCCTTCCTATTATTACTTAAGGCTTGGGAGGGCTCTCGATTAAATTTTAAAAAAGCAAAGCAAAAGAACACACTACACAACAGAACACACACACACCATACACACACATACACACACACACACACAGAGGATTGGAGTATTTTGAAAACTTACTGCCTGCAGTATGCCCAGAGGAAAGAAGTTGATTAGGACAGTCACGTCTTTCATTCCTTAGCTCACACCAGCAGTCTCCACCATGTGGGTATGCAACCAGCTTCTCAGATGGGTTTGGATGTTCCTGCAAAACCCTGTTAAAATCCACAACATAAACCCTCAGGAAAATCTGGAGGGTGAAATCACTTTGAGTAACTGTGAATGGCTGGCACCTACACTGTTACAAAAACTTTGAGTCACCGAGAATGAAGAACCTCAGTGTAAGAGGACAGCACGTATGCCTAGAAGCAGGTGGGCTGCCTTAGGAAGGCTGGGGGCAGATTGAGGGCTGGAGAGCTCAAGTTATTTGCAGGAGGGATAATTAGCCTCATGAGACCAGCTGGTAGGATGTAAGAGGGGATGGGCCAGAAGGGGCCTCGACTGAGCCCCTTTGACTGCAGCCTCGAAATTTGGCTACTGTTTAATGGTAAATTTGTTCAAAATAGTAGAGGAGGCCTTCTCTTTTAACAGTCATGAAGTTTCATTTGCCGTTAAAAAATAATAATAACTATTGTTTAATGTCAATGATCTTCTTGAATTTTGAAAATAACTTAGAAAACCATTTAGACATGACTGGTGTGTTATTTTGGTAACGAATGCAGTTTCACAAAATTCTATATCAATAACATAAAAGTCCCTTTGTTTACGATTCTGTTGTTTATCTCAAAGTTTGCCATTAGATCCTAATTGAAATTCATAGACTTCCTGGTCCTTGTTAAATATTGAAAGTGAGAGCTCAGATCTAAGAGTGAGAAGGGTTAATGAGCTTGTGAACTTGTGTTGGTGGCCTGTTCCCAAATCTGAACTCCGCATGTGTTGGGGAATAATGGCTGCTTATTAACCTCCCAGGCGGAACAGCTGGTGGGGATCAAAGGCACACTGCACTACATGGTGTTGCTCAAACTGACTTCCCACCTAACCCCCAGGAAACGTGCCAGGTCCCCAGGGAGGGGTGGGTTGCACTAAACCCAGGAGCACATTGAAAGAAGGTCTGTCCCACTAGAGTCTCTCTGGAAATGTACCAGGGGACCCCTTGGGAGTAAGGGATTGATTCTCAGAGCTATAGAAATAGGGGTGGGAATACTACGATTATTTAGGCAGAGACATCACTCCAAGTCGCATTTCCCTCTTTAGGTCCTCCTCCAATATTTGCAGGGCCTGTGGCAAGAGTTCCAGTGGAGGGAAGTCCACATACAGTATGTCTAAATATTAAATAATAGTAACGCAAGCTAATGAATATAGTCTATCCTCCTATCTTGGCTATACCTTTGAACAACAGAATTTTAAATATATACTATGAAAACTATAATTTTTATACGATTGAAAGTGGTAAAATGTCAAAGACAATGAAATTTAATGATCATGGTGCGTGTTTGGGGTCCTCTTGATGGGCCGGTGAACGATGGATGAATAATAGTGACCTATATAATTCACAAGTTATTACATTGTAATTTTTTGTCTTCATTTCAGCAAAATTGCTAATTATGCTGTCTGGATTATAACGGCAAGATTTGTGCCAGAAATGCCCAATTACATAATAATTTTTGAGTCATCTTAGTTGTTAGGTGGCTTTTTATTCATTTCGATTTTGAGAAACTTCATTCTGCTGAG